TTTGATCGACTTACTTCCGCTCATAATATAAGAGTCGTACATCCACGCATATCTCGTTTTGTTATTCGCCTCAATTTTGACTGTAACATTCGTACAACACGCAATGCATTTGCCATTGACAGTCTGTTGTCATCAGTTGTACTCGAGCGCTCTTATGTATTGTCAAATTAAACAATGCATATTTCTTTAGCGAAAATTTCAAAACGATTGAGAGCAGCTAATTGATTTGATCATCAACGTATCATACAATCAATTCGCATTTTTCTGACTGATCAAAAAAAAAAGCCTGCACATTATCGTTCAGGATTTTTCTTATTCACCTTACTAAACGATTATATGATCTTGGATCTCCATAGCTGAACATATGTCAAATCGGTTTTGATGTGCACGCAGACAACGATATGTTCCCCGTATAGGATTTGTGGTCTGCTAGCACTTTCGTTGTGGAAGGGAAGTAATAGGGCGTGAGAGTAATCACCTAAGGCATTTAGCGCTTCAGGCGTTCAAAATAGAATGATAAGTTCTATATACGTCATTAAAGTATTTTCTAAAGTACCAGTAGTAGTAGTTCAATTATCCGGGAGTATGCTTACCTAGCCTTTGATATAATTATGTATGCTTGTGGCTAATAAGGGATATATTATAGAGGCTTCTGCTTCACTATAGCGTGAAATAAATTAATAGCACTTAGATTGAAATAGGTGTAGATTTTGTCGTTATCTTTAGAGATTGCTGGAATTATTCATGAGAAAATGAAAGTTTTGTGATGAAAAGAATTCCACACTTAGCATGTGAACATCCGTTATAAATCGCCATTTACGAGTTTACGGCAAGTTTTATTTTGAATAAAAGGTTATTTCTGAACTTTTTTTGAACAATCAACTAAAGATATCTTGAGTACGGTTTTTCAAATAACAGCGGCAAACGTTCAAGAGAAAAATATAGGGAGTTTGGCAAATCTTAGAAGGAAGGCATCCACATAGCTAAGATTGCGGTGTTTTTTCGCATTTCGGCTGCTTTATATTTTTGCTACTCTATGAAATATCGAGCGATTGAGCGAGTAATGAGCATTTTAGATTGAGGCTTCTCGTGCTTTTCAGTAAAAACCGAAAAAAGATAGGTAGCTTACGTTTTAGCAAAAATGTTGTTTGGGATTTAGTCTCTTTTGAGTTTTTACTGGCTGGTAATGCAAATAAAAGCTAGGAAATTTTTAAGATGCAATTTATGTTAGCTTTTCAGTTTTCCTCCATAGCTATGTATCTATAAGGCCATCTGCATAAAAACCGTCAAGGTTTTTTTATTGTTATCTTTCATTCACTCAGCCATGTTATCAATTTCCCTTTTTCTTAATTGCTTTCTGTAAGCTCTGACTTGTTTGCTACGCTGATCCTCCATCCCTGAAATTTTTGAAATTAAGTAATCTGAATCTAGCCATACAACACACCCTTAGCTACTTTTGAAGAGAGAAACTAAAAATTGAAAATAATCCTGCTGCAGCGACTATGCCTGTAAACCAGACAAACTCCACTTTCGGGAACAGTGCTATCCCAATGTATAATATAAATTTATAACTACTATAATTTAATATCAAAACATTACAGGTACCAGGTTGCCTATGTTTTAGTCGATGGTTGAAGCAGCATTTCAACTTCGGAATGTTCTTTGTGAGTACAGTCTCGCTTTACCCTCGGCTGTAGATCGATCTCTATACCCTAATGTACGACTCCAAGTACCCACTTTTCACATTTTCGGAATAACTCCAGAAGGTAATTTACACACTATCTTATCAGAACAAAAAGAAACTTTTATGGTTCCTGTGGCTTACCTTGCTGAAGATTTGCAAGATATATCTAGAAAGCTTAAGATCTTAGAAGAGTAATTTTATATTGCGGTCAAATGTAAGATTAAGGGAAAAAAGCTTGTGTGCACGTTCATGGATTTCTTCCATACATGCTGCTACGGGTTGGAGGTAATTTCACGCCGACATTGGAGCAGCGAATGCGGGAGAAGATAAATCGGCTGATCCAAAGGGAGTTCGCTGCAAAACAGGAAAAAGCAGACAAGCAGATTGCAGCCAACTACAACTATGTCTACAAAATCGAGCCGATGCTGGCGAAGTTGGTGACAATTTTCTTTCCTAATTTGAGCAAATGCTATTAGGCAGTTTTGCCACTAGAAGTTTTTATGAGTTGAGCAGTTCTATTCAATAGTTCTTGAAAGTATCAGCATTATGAAAAAAATCTTTTGAACATCCTGCGTGCCTTTATTTTATTTGAGCGCTCAAATTGTTCACTCTGTCACTTGTCATTCTTAGATACATCGTAACATAATTAATCTAAATTACACATTTTCTGATCTTCCTTACATTTTATAAAATGGACCAAAATACTTCCGTTTAGGTCAATATACGGTTACCATGAAGAAATGGAACAATTTGCGAAGATATATTTTCTCAATCCATTGCATAGAGCGCGGTGAGTGCTGCGAAATCTCAAGCTTCACACTCAAACTTGTTTAGGCACTTTTATAAGTTGAATTTGAAAAACCTAAAGACTGAGAAGAAAGCAAACATCTCATTGTTGTAAGAGGATTTGAATGTTGTTTTCTCGTAGATCTCATTAAAACGGGAGATTTACAGTTTTTCTGATAATGGAAATAAAGTTCAGATTCAGTTTTTGGCTCAATAGGCCAAAAAAATTCAAATTCTCAGCACTTAGCTCGGTTTAATAAATTCTCCCTTTTCAGGCTTTTTGCAGCGCTGGCCAAAGAAGTTGATGAGTTCCCAGTGATGCAACCGTTTGAGGCACACACTCCATTCATACTGCAGGTTCGGTAGTGGTCACCGTAGCCTGTAATTCTTGCTGTTAATATTTTCAGTTCTTTATTGATAACTCTATATTCGGCATGGATGATATCACATTCAAGCGTGTTCAGTACCGCATCGCACCTCAAAGTGATTCGCAAGGTAAATGAATAATATGATATGCAGAATGATGTAGATAGGGATTTTTTTAGTCTACATCTCTGGAAAGCAATGCCTAAATTAAATTTTCTTTAAACGATTTGTGGTTTAAAGTTGGTATCCGGCCAGCTTTCGGATGTGCTTTCGGGTTTTTTTTTTCAATATCGCAGTTGGGGTCACCAATTCTGCG